ATTTGAATTACTTTATGAATATTGACTGCATCAGTCGTACCAACCATGTCATTAACCTTAAAAACGTAAGCGATATGTAACCAAAAAGCAGCTCCGTATATTTTTTAAAATTTTTTTAAGAAAAAATGTTGATTATTGAAATGAAAAGTGTTAAAGAAGGAGGAATAAGGTGTGAAGGTAACCTAGTGAATAAATGCTTGCGTTTTTAAATAGTTTATTTGGTGAAAAAGAAGGCTGAAAAGTTGCCCTTTTCTGAACTTTGAAGGGCCGTAACTTTTTGAATGAGGGAGAGCGCTGCTTTTTTCTTTCGGATTCGTAATCTACGCATCAAAATACGTAAGTACAGTCAAACATTTTTTCAAAATCGCCGGGTGTCCACAAAACGAAAATTTACCCAAGATTGAAGAAGCCCATGCATGGGAGGCGTTTTGTGACGATTGAGGAGATAAAAACCGGAATGATGAGGGAACTCAAGGACATATAAAAGGTGCATATCAGAACTGTGTCGTGAATTGAAAAAAACGCTGGTGCTAGTGTATTATATCTGAATGGGACTACTTGGAAGAGGAAAAAATAGGAATTGATGAATTAATAAGCGTAAGAAGCGTTAAACGCATTTACTTGTCTCGTTTCGAGGGATCTTTTTTGTTTTTATGCAAGCAAAACCATCCTTTTCTGAATCGGATTATCACTTATGATGAAAAGCGGATCCTCTACAATAACAGGTCAGCGGCTGGCTCCCCAGACCTTCAGTAACAACCTACAGTGCTTTTCATAATGCTTGACCCTTCCAACATAAATTGACGTGTTTTTGGATTTTTCCTAAATACCAGTATTACAAAAGTTATTAAATGTGGATACTTTTATCTGAAAAGCACTGTATAAATAATGTTGGTGTGTGTTTCTGTGAATACGCGCTTATCTTGAAAACGGCTAAACATATTTGGAAGCGGTTGTGTTGTGATGAGCTCCACTCACAATATTACTCCTTATTAATTGAGTATAATGCTCCCGTTTTCTACTTTACTTACTAATATGAATATTAGTGAATTTAATATTTTTTATGAGCTC